TTTAATTCCTAGTCATAAGTTAGCCAAGGTGACTAATGGACCTCATATCATGTCAATAAAACTGTACAACAAGCTCCCAATATCCATTAAAAAAATAACTAGTGTAAAGCTCTTTAAACAAAAAGTTCGGAAACTATTATGTGAAAAGGTATTTTATTCGCTTGATGAATTTTTTCAGTCTGATTTGGAGTTTTAAATTTTAATTTTTGTATCCCTTTTATGGTCTAAATGTTATATAATATGTCTTATAATTATGTTGTTTTATGATTGTGACCTCATTGTAATTGTACTGAGTTATATGACTTTTTCCAAGCCTCCCTAGGTCTACGGAAATAAAGATTTTTTAATTTTTTGATTTTGATAAGTCTGCAAAATACTGGTGCGAGTTCAAAGACGCACTTTTCAAGTACGATGATTCATTCACATGTAAATATGGAAAATGAAATGAAGTAATGGACAAAACAAAGAATGCCTTTTAAAAACAAAGAGAAATAGTTCATAGCGAGAATGATTTGTGGAAAACCTGCTTCAAGCTTCTCTTTCAACAGAAATACACCTATGAGCAGCGCTAAATCCAATAAACTCTCCAAACCACCCGAAGCAAACCCAGCCCGTAAATTGCTTTCAGCATACAAAACGATCAAAACCGCACCACATTCGATCCAAAACAAATCAAACTCCATTATTCCAAATCCTAGACTCGCCCGGAGCCGTTGGACGTCTGCCACAACTCCGCGACCAATAACTTCAATTAGAGCAATGTGTTTCGCGAGCTCCGTAATATAAGTTCCCAGCTAACAACTGATACTCACCGACGACCAGCATGTCCTCCGAAGCGGTTTTCGTGGAGAAGGGAGGAGCATCTGCGGTCACTTCGCAGCTGAACTTTCCAGAAAGATTGAATCCGACGTCACGCAGGACCACCTGGTGCTCGTTGGAGTGGAGCAGCTGAAAGGAAAGAAGGATAATTCTGGCTATAGCTTCAGTAACTTTTTTGTTAGGAGAAGTTGAGAAATAGATTGAGAAAGAAACACTGTGGGGAAATGTCAACGAATTCTTAATACTAATGATGATGATATAATAATAATGATGGTAATCTTCATTCGAAAAATATGACGACTTTTTCAGCATGTACCTACACAGACAACATAGAATGAAATGATGTCAAAAAAAAATAAAATTTTGGCGATTCTGCAGCCATACAACCATCACATATACTTATAAAATTTCGTTTGGTGAAATGATCACCAACACTATAAGGTTCTAAATCTATTGACCTTTTTTATTTATGTCTCAGATTCATTGATGCTCCTCAAATCCTTGATTCGATTAGGCAATTTATTATTATCGTAGGGTACTGGTTAACAGATTTTAAACAGATTATACAGCTTCACTGACACGTAATGAGGAATTTTTATTTGAGTTATAGTCAACATATGTATAAAGAGCGCGAAATTATTTCTTCTTGTGCCATAGGAATGTTGATTAATATTGTTGAAGAACAGATTTCTATTTTCCAATAGAAATAGTAGGTATTCATGAATGCAGAGCGCGTATATCGTCACTATTTCATCATTATTGAAATCATATCTACATGATTGATTATACTTCAAATTTTCCATCATTCTGATAGCTCTTTCCTGAATTATAAATATTTTTTTTATTATTATTATTGCGTCCTACAAATATGATTCCATAGCTACAGACTCAAAATTGACAAAGTATAAAATTTTTACTGATTCTTCGTTAAGATATTTGTAAACCACCCTCAGTCCATATGAAATTTTGCTCAATAGTCTGTTCCATTTCAAAAATTCATCAATATGTAGTCCCAGAAACTTGATGTCTTCTGAATATTTTATTTTGATATTTTCAATATTCAAATTTGTAAGTCGTTCTTTCTGTAATTGATTGGTTCTATATATCATTGAACATTTCAATAACGTTATTGGACAACATGTATGCGGCTTCCTTGAATTTTCTCCTAAACCAATGTTCCTCTCTGTGTAAGATCTCAGCTTGGGACCACTCGATGTTTGAAAGCGGGGGATAAGTGAAAGTACTCGAACGACCCATAAATAGTCATCTTTCGGAGGAATCAGTCCAGTCATCACCCGAAGACGACTGTGGATATTAACAGTCGAAACGTCGTGAACTATCTTGGCTTGAAATCTCCTAACTTTTTTATTTTCATCTCTATTTTCATTTTGTAGTTCTTTATTCCCATTTTTGTTCAATTGTTTTATTTTTACTCGTATTTTATTTCACTATTATTTCAGTTCAGGTTTTCTTGCTCAATATAATTGTTATTTACAGCAATTTATTTTCAATTCTTCTTTTTCAGTTGTTTTAGGGATTTCAAATCATTTTATATATTAGACAATGGAAGTCCGAACTAGTGAAATTCATCATGAAACATTGTCTATCACCTTCAAACTAACCTATTCCTAGTGAACCATTCTTTTGTATCATTGAACATTTCAATATCAGTTTCTAATACTCCAGGGTATGTTTCATTGCCTATTAATAAATTGGTTCAGAAGCGAAGACTGCAGTTGATGTGATTAACAAAGTAGCAGCATTCAACAGTATGATCCACAGACTGATGAATGTTCCCCTGTCAGGTAACCATACAGGTTACTGTATGGTTATCAGTTGCTGATGAGATCACTATAACTTTCTGCAACTGGTCCAAACCATACATGCAGTGGTACCACTTTGAAATTGATCGAGTACCAAACACACTGTTGTTTGGGTGGGATTTTTCCTGCACTTTCGAGAGGTAATATACCTCGAAACCTGTCTGTAGGTAATCTATTCGACTGATTTCTGCATGATCTTGCTTCTGTTTCAACGCGAAACATCTGCAAAACTAACCTCTATGGGGTACCTTGCATAAATGTCAAACGGATTCAATTCAATGTTCAGCGTGGTATTAGCCAGGAAAGTAGTAATTTCCGACAAGCATTTATCAGAACCTGCGGTGTAGGTGTTTTGGGAGAGATGAATGTTTCAATATATCAATTACTTGCATGTATATCTCTCTCCTTGGTACAGATGACGTCTTACTGAAAATTTTCAAAAATTTTATACTCACATCAACATTCACTCCATTGAATGAAAAAGTTTTCGTACTCGGATGCTCCTTTGGAGTGTACCTGTAGAATTCGGAGGTACCTCGGTACCATTTGACTGTATACAGAGGCGATCCTTGAAGATCATAACTGCATCTTAACGTGCTAGTACCACCTCTCTGCACTATTGTCGGTTCGATTTCTATTTCTACGTCCTTCAAACATTGGATTTCTGAAACAAATGGTAAACGTTGTATTTGCAAAACAAATGCCACAGAAAATTTGAAAGATTATGATTTCTGAGGCTCTAGAATCATTTAAGTTACGTTCAGTTGACTGTTAAATATTCGATTGTAGATTTTTTTTGAATATTGATATTGATATTGATATTGATATTGATATTGATATTGATATTGATATTGATATTGATATTGATATTGATATTGATATTGATATTGATATTGATATTGATATTGATATTGATATTGATATTGATATTGATATTGATATTGATATTGATATTGATATTGATATTGATATTGATATTGATATTGATATTGATATTGATATTGATATTGATATTGATATTGATATTGATATTGATATTGATATTGATATTGATATTGATATTGATATTGATATTGATATTGATATTGATATTGATATTGATATTGATATTGATATTGATATTGATATTGATATTGATATTGATATTGATATTGATATTGATATTGATATTGATATTGATATTGATATTGATATTGATATTGATATTGATATTGATATTGATATTGATATTGATATTGATATTGATATTGATATTGATATTGATATTGATATTGATATTGATATTGATATTGATATTGATATTGATATTGATATTGATATTGATATTGATATTGATATTGATATTGATATTGATATTGATATTGATATTGATATTGATATTGATATTGATATTGATATTGATATTGATATTGATATTGATATTGATATTGATATTGATATTGATATTGATATTGATATTGATATTGATATTGATATTGATATTGATATTGATATTGATATTGATATTGATATTGATATTGATATTGATATTGATATTGATATTGATATTGATATTGATATTGATATTGATNTTTGATTCAATTTTCTTTAGCTATCTGAGAAATATTGGTTTTCAAATTTCCATTGCAGCACTGCCAAATTATTCCAGAGAAACCTGGGTTTGAAAACCCAGTTATCCATGACTGACATCAAAAAATCAATCTCGGAATTTGTCAATAACGCCATGTGTTGAAGTTTCTTTCATGTGTAGACTGAATCATTTTCATTATGAATTTTGTATTGGAAGATAGGTGCAAATGGACTATGCTTTGGGGGAAAGAGATGAAAACTGCCTCCTTGCATCTAAGATTTACAAAGAGGAGTTCCCGGAAAGAAGATAACCAAATAGAAGGGCATTTCAGGCTCTAAAAACAAGATTTGAAAGAACTGGTAATATCGAGAACTTCAAACGTGTCTGCCCTGTAACTGTTCTGTTTCTATTTAAAATCTGTTTTTTCCGTTAACTAGCTGTCGCACCCCTAAGAACGACAACTTCTGTGCGAAACTTGTGCGAGCTAAGGATTAACGAGATCTTACCATTTAACGTGTGATTCCTAACAAATGAAGATAATACGTTTCACATTGTCGCAACAAAGTACTCGCTTGGCTTATTAACGAGAGGATTTTATTCGCTGTTCCACCCATTCATCATTCATCCAAATAATGAAAAAACTCATTTGAAAACTTTATTGAATGTTCATTGTAACGAAATAGGGGAAAATACTTCAGGAATAAACTTACACCAAATGTAAATCAAAAATACAATAAATCACCAAAAACTTACATTATACTGACACCCAGCAGGATACAAGAAAAGGGGATGTGATGCATTGCTGGCACCTTTTCTTGAAGTTCAATAGATACTGAATGAATTTATCAATACTGTCTGTTCATAATCTTTATCTCCCTCAATATTTATGAAGATTTATATGCTTTACTAAAGTAAAATGCTCATTATGCAATCTTTGCAAAGTTTGCATATTTGGAAATTGTTTTATATTTCTATATCCTGTGATCGTATCAATTTTGATGTCTATGAACTTGGAATATTAAAAGATGGAATTCTGAATACTGAGTGTTCTTGTTTAAGAATACTGAAGTTGTGGTTGGAACATCTTTCAATTCATGTATTGACTTAAATGAATTTGAATTATTTCATGATTACTTTCCATATTTGACAATATTGCTCTTCGCCTTCTAGAAAATCCCGATGTGAGTATCCGAGACCTGACCAGGGAATTAGGATTTTCTTGAACCAGCCTGTCTCAAATGATACGAGCAAGCAATTTTCATCCTTAACAGATGCAATTGATGCAAGAGTTAGGGTGAAGAGACTTTGAAAACCGTGTTGAATTTTGCCGATGGGGCTTGGAAAAGATCAATCAGGTAAATGAATTTTCAATGATTTCACATAAAGAGTATGAAATTAGCCCCATTCTTGCTTTATTATATTGTATTACATACGTAGCTTCAATGAAGAAAATCAATTTATACACTTCTCGATATCAAAAATTAGAATTTCGTTTTTTGATTCACCAAGTCACATAATTTTTCACAATAATCGCTCATCATACATACGAAGTTTCAGTATGACTTCTCTCACAATTGAAAAAAATCTGCTGTTCAAACTTGTTTCAACTTATTTCACCAAATCATCAGGAACAAATATAACCCTGCTTTCATTATCATGAATAAACTCAAATAAGACTCTTCACAAACTTCATGAAGCCCCCAATAAAACTCCCGAGAAAAAATCATCGCGTTATTATTTGTTAATGGAGAATCCTGTGAAATGGAAGAGACATATTTATTTAGAATGGTTCTCCGAAAGTGTGATTAATTTTAATAACGCCGGAATATCCTCGGAAAGGCAAATTCGACGGACCCTCGGCAAGCGAACCAATCAATCGTTTGCTTTCGTTTGCAATTTCATGTTTGTGTTTGCACTTAATTTTGCGGGTGAAATTTTCCGCAGTTTTTCTCTCGAGAGGAGGAAATCATTTTCTTGAAGATAATTTGATTTGAGAAAAGGTACAGACACGTTCTGAGAATATTGGAGCAAGTACATCTTTTCGAAGGTTGGAAAGAATATTATTCATGTTTGTTACTGATGGATTTTTTTCAGTGCAGTCGGGAATATTGATTGGAAATAGAAGATTCCAGGCAATTGATGTTGGTGAAAAGGTGGATCGATAAGAACCGATATTGAAATGTCTTTCAGTCATTTTGATTACGACGGAAAATCGTAAAATGGAGTACATCTTATGCTTTCATATGCTTTATTTTGCTCTAGTCTGTAGGGGATAGTTCCATGTTAACTTTCTTTCGAAGAAAGTACCAAGGTATTTCTCCTCTTCAGAGAAGTTCAGGGAGGTTTTAAGCCCGATAAACTTCTTTTCCTGGTGAAAAGGACCATCTCAGTCTTCTTAGAATTGATCGACAGTGAGTGTAGACAGTAGAGGAACTGAGAGATTACGGGGCAAATGGCAACACCGCCTTATGGGAAATACCATGTAATTTTGGGGTAAAAAGCCAAGCTCCGTTTTGCAAATTTTTGTCCCAACATGGGAACCTCCATAAGACACTGTTGCCAGATTTCCCCAGATCCACAAGATTTCATACACCATTCAGATGTCGCACGATCCACTGTATTGGAAATAAAAATAAAATAACTCTGCGCGCTCGACCCAATACTATCTGGCATTAAAGATGAAATTCAGTCATCGCCACCCTCGTGTGGGTTGAATAATTTCCCAAACTACCTGTTCCATATTAAAAAGTAGGGTCTGTGTGTGTGTATCCTCTAAAATTATTTTCTCGCATACTGGGTGAATTGAACACCCATTATATGAATACGTCATTTGATTTAATATTTTTTCAGCTATCTGTAAACTTTTGGTTTTGAATTTCCATTGCGGCACTGCCAAGTTATTTCAGAAAAACCTGGGTTCGAAAACCCAGTTTTCCATGACTGATATCAAAAAATCAATCTCGGAATTTGTCAACAACGCCATGTATTGAAGATCCTTTCGCGTGTAGACTGAATCATTTTCATTATTATGTATTGGAAGATAGGTGCAAATGGACTATGCTTTGGGGTGAAGTGACGAAAACTGCCTCCTTGCATCTAAGATTTACAAAGAGAAGTTCCCTGAAAGAAGACAACCAGATGGAAAGGCATTCCAGGCTCTAAAAACAAGATTTGAAAGAACCCTGTAACTGTTCTGTTTCTGTTTAAAATCTGTTTTCTCCGTTAACCAGCTGTCGCACCCCTAAGAACGACGACTCTTGTGCGAGCTAAGGGCTAACGAGGTCTTACCTTTCAACGTGTGATTCCTCACAAATGAAGAGAATACATTTCACATTATCGCAACTCAGTACTCGCTTGGCTTATTAACGAGAGGATTTTAGTCGCTGTTTCACCCATTCATCATTCATCCAAATAATGAAAAAACTCATTTAAAAACTTTATTGAATATTTATTGTAACGGAACAGGAGAAAATACTTCAGGAATAAACTTACACCAAATGTAAATCAAAAATACAAGAAATCACCAAAAACTTACATTATACTGCCACCCGGCAGGATCGAAGAAAAGAAGATGTGCTGCATTGCTGGAACCTTTTCTTGAAGTTCAATAGATACTGAATGAATTTATCAATACTGTCTGTTCATGATCTTCATCTCCCTTAATATTTATGAAGATTTATACGCCTTACTAAAGTAAATTGTTCATTATGCAATCTGTGCAAAGTTTGCGTATTTGGAATTTGTTTTATATTTCTATATCCTGTGATCGTATCAATTTTGATGTCTATGAACTTGGATGGAATTCTGAATACTGAGTGTTTTTCTTTTAGGATATTGAAGTTTAGTACAACTTATGAATTCGCGTTTTATTCATTACGTGAAGTTGAGAATGAAATTGAAAAATTCAAAGGCTTCTTACTTTCAGTCATGAACGTGATGTAATGATGTACAGTGTGGATCTGTATCTGTAGAGTAGGGAGGGTGAGTGAAGATCCACAGGACTTAGGCCACATGTGACCCATTGTACATCCTCTCAAGGAGTTACTCTCCTAGGTCATCGTCCATCCTGTCCTTTCCAAGGAGGTGGATAGGTC